CCGGTTCACAGCCCCCATCTATAGCCATGAAACCCTGCTTGCATATCCCCAGTAACAGGGATCTCACTACCTCCTGAGGCAGCCCACCATGGCCTAGACCTTCCTCACATAAGCAGGAATGTGCCTCCTTAAACTTCCTACCTTCCAGCCCTGGGGCCACCCCCTGTGTAAACACCTGGTGGCACCCAGAGGCCATTCTTATGTGAGGAGTTTCCTTTCTCCAAGGGTTCCTGTGCCCCCCATCCCCCACCTGAGCGAGCTCTGAGGGCAGGGAAGGCCTGGTGGGTCCCTCTTCTCACTCTCGTCCCAGAGCTTGCCCAGCATAGGCAGACACCCAGGGGCAGTCAAGACCAGCGGAGCACTCTCCCCTGCCTCACTGGGGCTAGTGTCTCAGTGTCTGGGGCTGGGAGAGGCCCAGAAGGGTGGGCTAGTGGGGGCTCACCAAGGCAGGTAAAAGCAGTCTGGTAGGCGCTGAAGTTCATCCAACAGAATATGGCCTGGCGGGAGGGGTGGGGGCTCTGAAGCAGGGGGCCCAGGTCCAGAGCAGCCCCTCGGTGCAGAGCTTGTAGGTTGGCCCTGGGGTGGGGACAAGGAAGGCAGTGATCTCAGGGAGCACACGTGCTCCCGAATTCCTCCTCTGGCACAGTCTCTGGCTGAACTCCCAGTTTACAACCCATGGCTGTGGGCAGGGAAGCCCAGGGCTGTGGGAGCCCAGCAGAGCCTCCTAACCCAGCCTGGGAGGTCAGGGAGGGCTTCCCAGAGGAGGTGAGGACTGAGTAGAGCTTTAAAGGATGCATAAGAGAAAGCTGGTGGGGGCAGGGTAGGAATCAAGGGGGACAAATTCAGGCAGAAGGCAAATCCTGAACCAAGTCAGGAAAGTGAGAAACATCATAAAATATGGTAAGTGATCTGCAGCTCGGCCACCAGACTAGAGGCAAGGTTCCCGGTAGGCAGAGGTTTGGGGGCCCTGACTGCCGTCCTAAGTGGGGCCACCCCTGCGAGGAAAGGTCCCTGGGCATAGCCTCTGAGGCAGCTGGGCAGCAGGGCTCAGTGACAGCCGGGCCTTCAGAGACCCTCCCTCCCTCTAGCCCCGGGGCTTTCCCCACAGACGCTTCTGGATCAGGGGTCCTACAGGCCCTTGAGACTGTGACCTCCTCCCCACGTCTGCACTGAGGGTCAGAGCCTGCCACTAACCTGTGTGTCACCAGGGAGCGGATCAGCACGAAGAAGGTGAGTGAGCAAGACAGGACCAAGGCCAAGACGTAGCAAACTGGAGGGCAGAGGGGAGCCAAGTGGGTGGCTGGGCCCGGAGGGTCTCCTGGGAGCCTCTGCACTGCTGCCGGGGTGCGTCTGGGTGGGAGGGACCCCTGCCCCACACCCCACTCTGAGCAGAGGCCTCTTGCAACATTCCCTGTTCTCAGGTCCAGTGTAAGTTGACAACCACAGCCAGCCTGTAGTGCCAGGTAACATAGTGGCCAAGATGGGGAAAGGCCACCTCTGAGGCTGCAGACCCAACCGGGTCTTGCTGCACCCATTGTTGTGTAACCCCTAGCAAGAGATTCCATCCAACCTGGCATGTGCCTCCACCTCCATGGCTCCCTGGCCGTGTGGCCTTCAGGGGGTCATTTCCTCGCCCAGCTGGTCACGCTGCTGTCCTGCCCATCTCCCAGCATGACACAAGCCATGGAGCCCCATCTAAGCCCTTGTCAATGCCATTGTTCAGGGAACAGGGGATGCAAGTGCACTGCTGTGTGGTCTGAGTCTATCAGAATGAGGGGAGGTGGCCGCTGCTGCCCGTCTCCCCTGGGTGCGGACTCTCGTCCCTGGCTCCCAGGCCACCCTGACCATGTACACAGATCACGAGTTTGCTGTCTCACCAGCAGCTGGAGGAGAATGCATGGTGTTCATGAACAAGCCTGGCATTTAAGCAAAGCAGGTTTGTGGGCTGGGCCCTTTCCACCCTGCATCTATCAATACATCCAGCCTCACCCTGCCCAGAGGAGAGGCACAGGAAGACACGGGGGCAAGGAAGAAGCTGAGACTTAGAGGGCCTGACCCGCCAGCCACACACTAGGAAGTAGTGGAGCCAGATGTGCAACCATCCAAGCAGACCCAGAATGAGCCCAGGGCACCTGCATCCTTATCTCCTCAGCCAGCATAGGGAAGTGCTCCTTGTTCCTGTGTTCCCACCAGAGACTCAGGGAGCAAGCGCACGTGGAAAAGGCAGGCACCAGTTCCACATAGCACAGGTAGGTACCAGAGAAGTGGGCTCTGCACTGGAAGCACATTAGGATCACCTGGGACTATTAGAATCCCCGTGGCCAGGCTGCACTCCTAACCAGTTAAATCAGAGTTTCTGGACATGGAACCCGGGCCTTAGCCTTATGAAAGCAACCCCAGTGATCCTGACCTGCAGCCAGAGTTGAGAATCACTACTGCAGGAGCTTTCTGAAAACAGAGCCTTAATGGTTTATTTCAATCAGCAACTGATTGAAACCAACCAACCAACTGACACGTACAGAGGGACTGCCGCAGTGGCTTGCCTCCGAATCACCTGGAGCGCTTATTCAATCAGAAGCTGGGCACCAGCCTCAGGGTTTCTGAAGTTAGGCCTGTGGTTCGAGACTAGGGATTTTTAAAGTTAACAGGTGATTCCGATTGCTCCATAAACCCGAGTCTCCCAGCCTGCCCTGGGCTTGCTCCTCCAATGGCAAGAGGGGGCACTCCTCTGAAAAGTAAGGCTGGGAGACAGCTGTGGGCACACGCAGCTCTGCCCTGCTCCATCTCCCAGCAGGAGCCAGCTCCGCACCAGAGAAGGTGCATGCAGATGTTTCTGCCAGGCGTGAGGAGCCTGCCTGCTGACCTGGCCCAGGCGAGAGAATAGGTTAATGTGGGTGAAGGGGTAGTGAGCCCCATGGCCCCAGGCCTGGCCTTTGATCGTTACCTCTTGACTTCCTGCTCCTCTCTCCCTTCACTTGGTTCCAAATGTGGATGCCTCCCAATCCTGGTGCCCATAAGATCTTTCTGTGCTTTGCCTCCTCTGGGACATTGCACCTGCCCCTTTCTGGGACCTGCTTGCTGGATCCATCCATCTTCCCCACCAGATTCAGGGTCTCAAGGACAAGGCTGCCTTTGTCTCTTTAGCACCCATTTTGCAGGTAGGGACATTGAGATCCAGAGAAGTGAAGTGCCTTGCCCAAGGTCACACAGCTAGTAAGTGATGGAGCAGGAACCCTAATCTAGCCTGCATGACTCAGAGCGAGCATTCTCTGAATGATGCCAGGCCTGCAGTTCCAGGTGCTAGGTGCAGGGGACAGCCCTAAAACAGGTTCTCGGAGCTCAGAAGGCGTTAGCTCCTTAGGCTAAGAGCAGACCAAAGGGCCCCAAGCTCAGATCTAGCCTCAGCTCCACTCTGGCTAGCTGATTGCTTTGGACATATCTCTAATGCCCTGGGCCTCAGTTTGCCTCATCTGTGAACTAGGAGAGTAAACACTGCTTTGTTTGGCCCTGCATCTAAGAAGATCCAAAGTGGAAACGTTTGGGCTTGGAAACCATAGCATGTGATTATAAATGTCAGGTGTGATGAGTAGAAGAAGAATCCATTGTCCAAGGCATGTCACTTCCTGCCTCTGACCCCTGATTTCCTGCTCTGAAAGATGGCATCACAATGCTAACCTAACAGGGCTGCTGTGAGTGAGGTCTGAGCTTGGATATGGGCTGATGTGGGCTGTGTCTGCTCCTGCCTGTGGCTCAGATTGCAGCCAACTTGGAAAATCTCCCTGGAGATGTCATTTCAGCCCACCCAGAACTTGTCACCTGTCCAGCTTGTGGGCCTCAGCTGCAGTTCCAAGGCAGCCTCTGGTGTGGGAGCAAAGGCACTCAGGAAGGTGGTGGGAGTGGTATCAGGGAAGAAAGCAGGCACCATACACACCTGTGCCCATCCCCACCCCCTGCCCCTCTCCACTCCCAGCATGCCTGGTCTGCGGATGAGGACATTAACGGTCAGGAACAGAGGCAGAGCTGTCACACCTCCACCTGCAATGCTGGCAGCCTAGGGAGCCAGGGTCTCCCAAGTCAGCAGAGGATGCAGGCCCCATGACCCCTGACCACCAGGCTTTGTCTCAAAGTGGTGGTGAGGGCTCCAGCAGAGGCATCAGGAGGCTGCATTCTTCTCTTGGTTCCGATTCTGCCTGATGGTACAACCTCAGGGGAGTCCTTCCCCATGTGTCAAGTGGATACTTCTCAGCCTCCTCCACAGGGCTGCTGGGAAGGCCTGGGAGGTGAGTGAGGTGAGTACCAGGGCTAAGGGCTGAAGGAGGCATCAGCCCCAGAAAGGGAGGCTGATATCGTTCCCTGGCCTGGGGGCTCATTGTCAAGGGAGGGAGGGTGAAAGGAGGTGGCCTGGGAGGATAGGGACTGAGTAAAAGAGAGCATCTGTCCTGCCCGACCCCACCCACCTGACATGAGGATGAGCTCAGAATCCTGGCCCTTCATCCTACATCTCTGCCTCCTCTCCTGCTCCCCCACCCTCAGCAAAGGCCCCGGCTCACACACACCATGGCCTTCCCCATCTCCAGCCTGCAGAGCGGGGCAAAGACACTGCGGGTGAGGGTCGGAGACAACACACAAGCTGACGAACTGCTGAGATGCCCCTTTAGGTCTCAGAGACTTGAGACTGGAAGCTCCAACAGCTCCAATTTGGAGATGAGGCCATGGAGACCCAGACAAGGGCAGGGACGTGCCCAAGGGCAGCCAGCTCAGGCATCCCACCCAGCTCACATCCCTCCTGTGGACCCTCAGGGACCCCCCAGGCCCCCAGGGACCCTCAGGGACCTCACCTTCCAGCGCCCACAGGTGGTGCTTCACCAGCTGCACTACCTCCTGCCTGTCCTCAGAGAGCACGATCCCAAATCCAGCCAGCAGGTAGGAGACATCCGTGGTGATCCCTGCCCTCACCTTCTGAATGGTGGGCACCACGCCCGCCAGCAGCAGCAGGGCCACCTGGAAGAGCCCCGAAATAAGGGTGCCGGAGCCTGGCGGGACCACACCAGGCACTCCCGCCCCAGGACATGTTTTCTGAGCCACAGGGAGCCATTGGGGAAGAAGCTTTGGCAGCCCACTGGCTGCATCCCCGGGCCTGGCACCCATAGGTGTTCTGATCTCCCCAAGGGCAGTGTCCCCGTGTCTCTGGTCAGCAAGTCACAAGCGATCCAGTTTTAGTCTAATAGGCCACAGGTATGATTTTAGGCAGCACAACTGTGTAGCTGCACCTATCTATCAATCACCTGTCTAAACTTCAGAATATAAAATTGCCAATTTTCCCAAGTTGGACAAACCAAAGTGTCCTATAAGTGAGCACTGGCTTTGTAGGTGAACAGACCTGGATTCAGATACTGGCTGCCCTGAGATATTAGTTGTGGGGACTTGGCCAAGTCAAATCCACCTCTCTCAGCCTCAATTTCCCCCATCTGTAAAATGGAGAAAATTCATACCTACCTCCCAGGATTTGGGTCTGTGTGTGTTTGTTTGGGGTAGTGGTGATGGTGGTAAGAGTGGTGAGGATTTATCAAACATATCTTATTTCACTAAATCTTCCCAACTATCCCCAAAGGAAGGTAATTCTATTTCTTCCATTTTCAGCTGAGCTAATGGGCTCGGGGGCATTGAGTAGTTTGCCCAAGGTCACACAGGAGGTAAATAATGGAACTAGGATTTAAACCCATGTATATGTGACTCCAAAACTCATGCTCTGACTCTTTGTAAGCCCAACAGTTAACACCCCTCCCTTCTGGGTAGGCCAGTGTCCCCAAGACACCAAAAGCAGCTGGACGGGGTTGTGGGGGTTTGGAGAGCTGAGCTGGGCCAGAGCCATCCAGGCTTGGGGGGTGAGGTCAGGGGTCCAGAGGCAAATGCACCACCAAGGCAGGACATACCTGGTAGATGGCCGTCCCTGTCAGGGTGGCTGAAAGCACCAGCTTCAGGGGTAGTCGGAAGCCTGCAGTCCCCAAAAGGAGGGACATGGTGAGCCTAGCACCACCCAGGCCCAGGAGCCCCCACCCCTCCCCAGGGGCCCAAGAAAAGGGCTAGGGCTCACAGAACCCTGGATTTAAATCCAAGGCCAGGCCAGGGGCTTTCCCTTATCCCAAGCTGGAGGCTGTTCCTCCCGATGACAGGGTTCTAGGGGAGCAGGAGCTGCCTTCTAGCTGTTCAGTACAGGAGCGGGGAGGTTACCCGTCACTTCTGACCTCAGCTCCCCACCCATACCTCGCTGTGGAGTGTAGATGTAGTGTCTGAAGCAGGTCCACGCCCGGGACAGGAAGCCATGCTTGGAAGTATGGGAGCTGCAGAAAGACCCAAAGGGGGTGGGAGGCGGGGCTCAGGAGAAGCCCCTGCCCTGAGCCCCAGAGTTTGGTTCATTCCTCATCTCTGCCCCACCAGGCTGCCCACTGCCAGCCCCCCAAATAAGCCTGCCTAGCCGGCCCTGCCTGCTGGCCCAGAAGGTGAGCCTAGAACCTCACCTGCTTCCCATCTTCTTCCGACAAAGAAGGGTCCTCAGATATTCCTCAGGATAGCTGTTCTGCCACCCCTGTGGGAACAGACAGATGAGACCTGCCTCGAGCCACCCCTGGGGCCCTCACTCAGGGTATTAGGGTGGGCATGCAGTAGGTGCTCTGTGAAAACCTCTTGCTTGTGGTGGAGTGCAGAGAAAGGCTAGCCTATGGGGCGAGGCCCATGCCCCACATCGCTTCCCTTTCTTCCTCCACAAATACAAGACTAATTACTATCTAAGAACACTCAATGCTGGGAAAGTCTTCCTAAGGTCTAGCTCCAACCCTGTCCTGCTTTATTCAGTCACACCTCATCACTGCTTCCCTCTTGGCCCTTTGGCCTCTGCTAACTGAGACTGGGGCAGAAGGGAGCCTATGTCCCAAAGGCACATCCCTAACCAGGACACAGGATGCGGCCATTCGAGGTCAGACCCACCAGGCCTCTCCTCCTACTCAAGGGAGATCACAAGGGTGACCAGATTTGTCTAAGCCACATTCCAGGCCTTAAGCTGACTGCCAAATGGCAGAGGCCCATGGGGAGAAGGGGTGAGACCCTGCCCCCATCATTAGGAAAATATGGTCCATTGTCACCTGCTGCTATGGCAAACCTGGGATCCAGGGCATGTGTGGGTTAGCTCAAAGCTTGACTGTGTCCTTTGAGGCTTAAACCTCTTTGACTAAGGGCCAAAGAGGATTTATTTCCCCCAAGACTTCTCAAGAGGAAAGGCATGCAGTGGGGGACAGGCAAGGTAGAGAAGATGCCTGGAAGAGGAGGGAAAGGGCTTCCGTGAGGCAGAGCAGTGCCTGGTGCACTGTGTATCCTGGGGAGCTGCTCCCCGTTTCTGAGCCAGTTGTAAAAATGAAGGAACAGGCATCCCCAGAGAATTAGGAGGCAGTGGTGACAAAATACTCAGAACTCTATTGCTACTATATGAGAACAAAACCCAGAGTCAGGTGGGCCCGTGGAGACCCAAGGCAGCCCCTGGACAACCTGGGCCCACTTTGGCCTCTTCTCCCCTCGCCCTCCACCCCTCCTTGGGGACCTTGTTTCTTTCTGGGCTTCAGTCCCAGCCCCTCTCCTGAGCTCCAGGCCCATGGTCCAACTGCCCACCAGACCCTTAAACGCCACACACCCTCAACTGTGCATCATCCCCTGCACAGCTGCTCTCATCTAGCATGCCACATGTCAGCAACTGGTGCCACCATCTACCTGCTGTCTGTGCCACATGAAATCCTTCAAGCCTGCCCTTCGCCTTCTCCAGCCCTTCGCATCTGTCCTCAGCCTTTCTGAGGGCCTCTGTGGAGATTTCCTCTTCCTCCTCTCTCCCACCAGGAGTACATGACCCCACTTCCACCCAGGCTCCCATGGCACTTGGATGAGCCCCTGTTGCACTTCTGACATTGCTGTACATATCTGTTGCTGCATCCATCTCCCCCAGCGCACTGGGAGCTCCTGGAGGCCAGACACAGCCAATCAGCTGAGTCCACAGCACCTTGCCCAGGACTGGCACTTGGCTGGTGCTCAGAAGCTTTCTTCATAAGGTTGCCCTATCTTGTAAGACTTCTCTCTTGACATGATGTACCCATCCATCTATCCAAAACTTCAGAAATATTTGCCGCATGTCTATTACATGCTAACATTTGCTGGGTGCTGCAAATCAGGCATGAACAGACGCAACGCGTCTCTGCTCCTTGACTCATGTGCTTTCCTGAGCCTGCAGGGCCTTCTCCTCATTCTCTGCCCATTCCAGATGCTTCCTGTCCTCAGACCTCCACTCAAGTCTACCTCCTTCAGGAAGCCCTCCCCTTTATCTGACATCCTACCAAAAGTTGGTTCATAATGCAGCTCTGCCCTGAGTGCTTCCTGGCTCGTGTCGGCATCTGCAGAGCCCCATCAGGCACAAGCTGCTGGCCTGTCTCATTTCTCCAGCTGGATGCCAGTGGTTCAGACCAGGACTACGACTTACTGTCTTCTGGCCCACTTCTCCTTTGTTGAGTCCCTGCGGTACACAGTTTGGAGCCCCGGGTATGCTGGGTGCCAGCCAAGGGCCTGGCCTAGCCTTTGCCTGAAAAGGGAGAACTAACCCGTCACTTGGTGACTCAGCAAACCTTTCCTGAGTGCCTGCAGTGTGCTGGGCCCTCCACCAAGCATGATGATGGGTAGGGCACCGACAGACAGGGAGCCCAATGCAGCCCCTTTACCTCAGGTCCCGCTCCAGTCCTGTGGCTGAAGCTTCTCACCAGCTGCACCGGGTACCACAGGCTCAGGAATCCAAGGCCCAGAAGGAGAGGCAGGGAGGCCAGCAGGGAGTAGTACTTGTAGATCTGGAGAGACAAACACCAGACACACCTACCCTCTGCCTTCCTCCCCAACTGAAGGCCAGGGTCCATTTCCCTTCCCACCTCACCCCGGGGCCTGAGGGTAGTCTGGGGGGCCATGGGAAGGCTTCTGGTCCTGTCACCCCCGCCCCAACTTGGGCCACTCAGGACAACCACTCTCACTTCCTTTTCTGGGGCCCTGCAGGGGTGCCTGCCCCTCCCCCAGGCCCCTGGACTCCCAAGGCCCTTAGAGGAGCCAAAGGGAGGAGATCATGTGACCCCTTCTTCCCCACCCAGGGGGCTGCAATGTGGCCTGGAACAGAGCTTGAAACAGGGACACCCATTTTCTGTGTTGCTATATTCCGGGCACTTGGACATAGGCCCCTGAGAATCAGACAAAGGCCTAAGTTCGTCTATGTACAGTTTGCAATCTGGCATCAGGGCAGTTCATGCCCTACCTCCTGGCATTGAGGTCTTTGTCCCTGAAGTCCCAGGGCAGGGCTCTTATACATTCATTGATTTATTTGTTATTCAGTACATTTTTATTGAGAGCTTAGTATGTGCCAGGTTGTGGGTAGTGAAAAGACCAGGTCCCTGCTCTTCAAGAAACCAGCTTATCTTCACCTCTACCCTGAGGGATGGGTGATATCAACTTCACTAACAGGGGGGAAACCAGTCTCAGGAAGGTGACGTACTGTCCTCAAAGCACTTAGCACCACCTGGTATCATTTTGTACATTTGTTTGTTTCCTTGTTTATTGTGTCTCCCCTTTGGAATGGCAGCTCTTGGGATGCCAGGGACCTTGTATGACTTGTTCACAGCTGTATCCCAGTGTCTGAAAATGTCCCTGATACAGACTATGTGCTTCCAATATGTTTGTTGAATGGATGGATGGATGGATGGATGGACGGATGGATGGAAGGATGAATGAAGCTGGATTCCAACTTGGGTTGTCTGGCTCCAAAGTCTACACCCCCACCCTTTGGGCTCTAGACTGGGCAGCTTCACACCCCCAGCCAGCAGACAGTGAAGCAGGTGAGGTTCTAGAATTCTTTTTTTAGCCCTTTGAGACTATCCCCCGAGTCATTGCCTGCCATCCTCCATCTGACTTCACTTCCACTCCAGCCTGGCCAAGGGAAGGCTAGGGAGCTAACAAGGTTGGGGGGGATTTCAGGCTTCCTTTTCCTCTTCCTTTGCCCCTGCCCCCTCCCTGCCCCTCCAGACTGGAAGCCCCTGAGAGCTGGCCCAGCTGCCTTGTTTCATAGAGGGGTCACATGGAACAGCACATGTTTGGAGGAGAAGAACCCTGTGCACAAAAAAAGGTAGCAGGAAAACCCAACATGCGGAGATAAAAGGAGTCACGCTAGTGTAAGTGACTCCTCCATGCCCCCTGTCCCAGGCCATTATGAATCAGTGGTTACCTTGGGCAGCTGGGGACACTCTGCCCTCTGCCAGACCTGGACCCCAAAGTGAGCCCAGGCCAGCACAGTGCCTAGCAGGTGTGAGGTTCCTTGCCTGACTGTGGCACAGGCGGCCAGGGGATAGTAGAGGGCAGGGTAATACAGCAGGGCCAGCATCTTCCAGGACCCTGGAAGGCAAGACGGGCAGAGAGAAAATGAGTGCGGGGCAGGTGTGGGCTGAGTCCTGCCCACCCAGGCCTCTCCTGTCTCCATCTTCCAAGCCCCTCAGCTGGCTCAGTGGGCAAGAGCCCTGCGTTCAAATCCAGGCTCTGACTAGTATCAACTCTTTGATCTTGGGCCAGTTACCTCTTGAAGCCTCAGATTCTCCACCTATAAAGCGGAAATAAAAGTACTAAATTAGCAAAGACCAAATGAGAAGGTATGTGAACATTACTTAGCACGGTGCCTAAGTTAGTCCTCAGTACATCAAGCTACTGCTTTATTATTGTCCCCTTCTCTGGCCCTGTAAAGTGGGGCTAAGATCCGTAATTGTGGAGTCCTTGTGAGGATTATCTAAGGAGATCATGTCACAGGACAGTGGTGCCTCTCAATGGCAACTGTCCTTGTTACCATCACCTCCTTGAGCCCAGCTCAATTCTCTAGGACCCCTTCTGTCCACCAACCCACCTTCCTTCATTCTCACAAGGGGCTGGGCTATTGGGGGACCCAGCCTGTGCCCATGAATGAGAGTGCCCTCCCTCCTGGGGGTGGGATTTGCACAAGAACAGAAGCAGCAGAGAGGGCAGTATTGACCAAGGGTTGGGACCAACAAGGGGGAGGGTTTGGGCATTGTGAAGAGACAGTGGGAGGGTAAGGGGACAGTGGGGGCCCATGACTGGGATGGGGGAGCTATCTGGGGAGCTGTGCCCCAGTGCTCCAGATTCCCACCCCACCCCCACCCCAAATCCAGGCCAGGCCTCAGCTGTACTAGGTACCTGGGCTGGGTGGTGAGGCCAGGGTCAGGAAGGGCAGTGGGGCCTCGGCGGGGAGCAGCAGACACAGGGAGCTGAAGAGGACCATGAAGATAGCAGCGGGCACGGTCCGGGGCCCGTCCCCAGCCAAGAAATCCACAGGGCTGGTGCAGGGACAGGACAGAAGGGAGTTGTTCAGGCCCTGTGCTGCCATTACGTCGTGTCATGTTCCATAAACCAGGGAGGCTGAGTCAGTCCCTTTCCAGATGGGGAAACGGAGGCCCTTCATCCACTCAGTCCACAGATATTTATGGAGTGCCTCCTATGTACCAAGCTCTGGGCCCTGTGGCAGAGTGACTGGGGAACATACCCCCCAACGCGCATGTGTGTACACACACACACACACACACACACACACACACACACGCACGCACGCACGCACGCACGCACGCACGCGCACGCACGCACACACACACGCGCGCACACACACACACACGCACACGCACGCACGCACGCACGCACGCACGCACACGCACGCACACGAACAAGCCTGAGCACGGCTGCCTCCACCCACCCTGGACGCTCCAGGAAACAGCAGCCTCCACACTAATTGGTCTGTCTGGGTTGGCAGACCTTCAGAGAGCTCAGAGAGTCACAACATCCTTGCACAACGGCCGCCGCCCTGGCCGGGGTGTGGCCCAGTGCCGAGGTCAGACAGGGGACACAGCTGTCCCATGCATCACCTCCCTGGGCTTAGAGCAAGCCACTCAGACCCTCTGCTTCTGTGGGCCAGCTTGCCCTCATGCCCTGACAGTGCCATCCTGCTTCACTCCTTCCCAAACCCTCCCCCAGACAGGGCAGGAACCCCAGGCTGGTTCCCCACAAAGCCAGCATGCAGGACCCACCTTGGTGTGCATCCCGGGCCTACAGTGCAAGGCCGTCTACAATGGGACTCTACCCACCACCTCTCCCAGCCCTGTGCTCTTTCCCACACAAGCCTGCCCTGTCTCATCTCCTCAGGGTCATCCTCGTCCCAGGCTCTGGGACTGCAGGGCTGAGGAGACAGGGTGGAAAGTCCCTCAGAAATCTGCCTTAGCATCAGGGTACAGGTGAGACCCTCAGGGTCTTGAAGGCATGGCATGGCCATGGCCTGTCCAGACCATGGGTCGCCTGACGAGGTATGTCCTTGACCAGGAGCTGGGCTCCTTGGGGTTTGGAACAGGAGCAAGTAGACCTGAGTGGGTCTCATCCCCTCCCTCTGGGGGTCCCCGACTAAACCTGGAGATCTGGGTGGGGGTGGGGAGAGCCCCTAGGGTGAGAGAGAAGGGGGTATCACTGAGGCCAGAACTGGCTTTTAGGTACCCCCTGAGTGGGGGTGCCCAGACCACAGCACCAACCTGGGCAGCCCGGGCCTGCCGTGTCCGCAGTGAGGCCAGAGCTGGCGGCGCCTCACCAGCATGGCCAGCAGCAGCAACACAAGGATCTGAAGGAGAGCACAGTGGAGGGAGGGCTTGGGGTGCTCAGGCCTCCCGGAAGGGCTGCATTTAAGCGCTTGGCCTCAGTCCCCAGAAAACACCCTATCCCCGGTGCACACTCATGTGGTGTCTTGGGGACTGGCCAGGCCTGAGAGGTTGGACTTGGTCTGAATCCTGGCTTCGGTTTCCACCCTGGGAGAACCCCCTCCCACATTTTGGGTTCCCGGGGTCCCCCTCACCAGCCTCAGCAGGGAACATAAGTGCCCCTGCCCAGGCTGGCAGCAGGTTGCAAGCCAGTTAGGACTCAGGTTAGACTCACCGACAGCACAGCCAGGCAGGAATGGAGAAGACCGGGGGGCACACTGGGGTGGCAGGAGGGCACCACTCTGCAGAGGGAGTGGAGGGTGGGTCAGGCCTGGGTGGAGACCCCCAGGGTGTGCAGCCAGGTCTGTGGCTCCAGGCTGTCTACACTGGGGCTCCACCTCCCTCAACCCTCTGATCTCTCCTACACAAGCCTGCCCAGTTCCACCTTCTCAAGGTCATTCTGGGGCTCTCATGCCTCGATGGGATGTGACTGTACCAAGCTCAAGATTCCAGGGCTGAAAGAGATAGGGCACTCCCAGGGCAAGACACAGGAAAGTTAGAGTGGGCCAGCTCGGCCTGAACCTCTTTGCTTTCTCACCCAGATCCTTCAAGGCCTACTTTATCCCTCCCTCCTCCAGGATGCCTTCCTGGTTGCTCCAGGCCTCACAGACCTCTCCTCAGAGCTGTGGCTGAGATACCGCCTGGATCAAACCATTAAGTGTTCGGCCCTCCCAGAATGGAGTCTGTCCTCCATTCACTGGTATCTGAATTTGGTCTGTGTCTGACTGGAATGGTCTTCCTTGGTCTTCTAGAACTTACATGTCTTCTTTTCCCATTTCCTTCATTAAGGCCTTCCATATATAGCTGGGCAGATCGCACACTGCACAAGGATGCCCAGCTAGGGAAATGAGTGTGGTCTGAAAACCAGGCCACACTGCTCATCAAGTCTTGTACCTCCTGAGCTGCATACATCTAAATGGGGGTCCCGGTCTCTAATTACCACAAAGGTCCCTATGGCCTGGCAGAGGTCCAGCTCTTGCCATCGCTGAGCACAGAGGTAGGCCCATGGTGGAGATAGAGATCAATGAGCACAATGAAAGCTTCAACTTCCCCAGCTGGTCATGTGGCAGGGAAAGGGGTAGGAGCCCTGAGTTCAGAGCTGGACTTGGACCTGGGGGAGCAGACAGGACTGGGTCCCTGGGGAGAGGGAGATTTCTGGGTTTGCCCAGGTGGAGCCTGAGAGTGCCAGAGGGAGGACACCAGTGCAGGCAGGGCATGAGAGGAAGCCCTGTGCTGCAGCTGGGGCCTCCCAGCCCAGGAGGCTCACCCACCCACCTGGGCGCCCTCTTGCTGTGTGGAAAAGAGGACTCCCACGGCCTCAGAGCTCAGAACCCTAGGATCCTGCGGGAACAGCCCAACCTCGCCGGAGCTTGCTTCCTCTCAGGAAACCCCAGAGAGTCAGCAGCAGGCAAGAACCTGGTCACCTGAGCTGGTCCTTGGGGTGGAGGGACAGGATAAGTCTGTTTTGTACAACTTCTTGACCAGGGCAGAGCTGGCCTCTTCCCAAAGTGGAACTGTGCTCATGGGTGGGGCAGGTGCTGTGTAGGGGATCAGGCTCCCAATGTCTGAGCACAGACCTCACAGTCTCCACTTCCAGCTCTGAGGCCTCTTACTCCAGCATGTGGGGTGGGGTTTGGGCAAGGCAAGGCCTCTCTCAGCCCCAAGGGCTTAGAGCCACCTGTCTAGGACCTCTCATTGTGCATCTCCTCACCTGACTAGGTCCTGCTCAACCCTGTCCCCTGGCCAGCCAGGGCAGGGGCTCAGGAAACTGTCCCTGGAGAAGCCTGACCCTTTTCCCACTCACCGCAAACCAGGAGACCCCCCGCACCCCCACGGGTCCTCTCCAGGGCCCTGTCTGGGGGCACCTGTACCATCTGGGGTCCCCTATTTACCCCTTAGCTCAGCTTGGCTGAGGCTTACAGATCTCCAGATGTTTGAGATCTGAGCAACAGAAATTTGGCTGATGAGTCATGGATGCGTTTTTTGTGCTGTGGGATAGACAGGATGGCACAGATACAAAGAACACCACCTCAGGGAGGGCGAGGAGCTTGATCCAGGAAGAGGCACAAGCAGGTGCTAAAGGTTGCAGAGGAGGGGGAGAACCTTGGGGCCAGGCATCAGGGCCAGGGGCATCTGCTTTGCTTTGAAAGATGATTAGCATCTCTTTAGGAAAAGAAGGGGAAAGGGAGCTCCATGGAGAGGGAAGCATGGGGAGGCAGAGTGACAGGCAGTAGGTCGTGTGGCTGGGGCCAGGCGAGGCTTTCAGCTTGATTGCAGCCCAGAGCAGGTTATAGCAGGCACCGGTGGCACTGGGGAGCCACAGAGGATGTTTGAGCAGGGCAGTGTTCGGGATTTTAGGAGATTTCTGTGGCTAAATGTGAATAATGCCAACAGCAGTAACTAGTACTTACTAGGCACTGACTAAGTGCCAGGCACTGTTGGTCTACACAAGGGATACTAAGAGCCCACACCTCTTAGGTAATAATTGAGTTGATACAGGGAACAAAGAGACCACGGCTCAGAGAGGCCAAGTATCTTGCCCAAATCACACAGCTAATAAAGTGGCAGAGCCAGGACTCGAACTGAGGCAGTCCTGTCTCCAGCACCTGCGTCTGACTGGGAGGTGAGAAGTAAGAAGTACATGAAGGGAGATATTTCTGTTCCCAGGCTCTGGCTGGGAAGCTCAGTATTGATGATGGGTGGATAGCACATGGGCACATAACTGGCCAGAGGGGCCTTTGGGGGTGGAAAGAGCCAACTCAGCTTACACAGATCAATCCTGTGTGCACGCAAGACCCCAGGTGACACATCCCATCCCCATCAGACTCAACCCCCAAACTGTTCAACCAGGTCCTGGCACTACAGGGGCACATGGGTAAGTGAGACCAGGAACTGAGTCCATCCCGGCCACTGTCACCAGTGCCTGCCAATCCCAATTCCCAACCCTGCTGGGGCACCCTGAGGCACAGAGGGGGACCACTGTCAGAGCTCCACAAAGCTCTGGTGCCCCATCTCATTGAGGGGTCTGACTCACACAGGGCGAGGTGAGCCCAAGTTCCCCTCGGTGGGACTCACCTGGACTCCCTGCTACCCACTCCCACCTTTGAGGGGGTGGTAGGGAAAAAGCGGGCTCCACTTGGTTTGGCTAAGTACCGTATTTGCCGGCATATAAGACGATTTTTTGGCCCTGAAAAATATGCCTCCAAGTGGGGGGTCGTCTTATACGCCAGGTACACTTCAGATAGACTGCCCATAGTGCTTGCCCCGTGCCATAGTGGCCTCCCGATGCCCGCCCACTTCATTCCACATACCGTTCAGGCATCAGCAGCGCTGCTGGGTGTATGCTCGGCTGTTATGCGATTTTGCTGTTATGCGATTTTACCACACTCGCAAAATCGCACACAGCCGACCATACACCCAGTATGATAGCGCAAAATCGCGAATCGCGATTTATGTATATGTTTGATTACATACAGCCTTGTGACAGTTTTCCTGCATGTCATAAGCATTTGAATATAAATATAAATGTTGAAATCAAATCTGATATTGTTTTACCTTTTATTTGGTGTGTGGAAGGTGTGAGGAAGAGGGGGTAGTCTTATACGGTGAGTATATAACAAACTCTGTATTTTGAGTGGAAATGTTAGGGGGTCGTCTTATACGCCCAGTCGTCTTATACGCCGGCAAATACGGTAAGTAGGTTCGAACAAACCTCTTCATTCTTCCCTGCAGCGGAGGAAGGGAACTGCCAATTCTAGATGCCACCCTGGTCGTTCTCCCCACCACCGGTCCCCACCACACACCCACCTTTATTCTAGGGCCCTATCTAAATACCCTAGCCTCAGGGCCAATGACTGGGCCCTGAGGTATCAGGGCCAATGACTGGGCCCTGAGGTACCTAGGAACACAGCTTCAGATTTGGGCCTTAACCTGACTCAGGGTCAGAGTCCTCCTGAGGGTCCTGGGCCCCTCCCCACTCTGCTGCTCCTCCCACTCCAAACAAACGCAGCAGGGTCAGCCAGGGAAGCAGAGGGGGGCACACCCTTGCTGACTGCAGGGCTGCTTTTCAGATGGTCAGAGCCCTGAGTCCTGCAAACAACAGTTCCTCCCCGCAGGCCTGGGTGGGGACTCTGTCCCAGCCGAGCGACCCCAGTCTGGCCAGGCCAGAGCCCCAGACCCTGGGGAGGCATGCGAGCATTTCTCCTTCTCCAGTTTCTTGATGATGGAGAACAGATGTGTACACATCTGGCTCAGCAACTCCCCAACCTCACCTTACCAGCTCAACCAACCCTCAGACAGAGCAGGCAGGAGGGGGATGGGGCCAGGGCAGGAACTAAGTATGCTGATGAGGGGAGAACAGGGTTCTGGGAACCTCCCAGGCTAGGCGTCCTTGGCAGCATGTGGGGGCACATGGAGGCCCAACTACCCCGCCAGGGTGTGCAGAGGAAACACAGATAGAAAGGGTTTGGGCAAGGGCAGCTGTGGCCTGAGTCCTCAGGGCACATGGCTGGGCTGACGGCACCTCCCTTCCCAGCTGGCCTGAGCACTCCTGTGAAAGGAAACAGGACCTCCTCATCTTCACAGAGATTCCCCCACCAGACTTTTTTCCTTGGCTCTCTGTCTTCCTCTGCCCCCAGCCTGCCCAGAGAACCTGACACTTGCTAATACCACACCCCAGACAGTCACCACAGGGGCCAGTAACCCCTTGAAAGCAAGCCTGACTTCCCTCAACCACTCACCCAGCATTCTCCATTCTGGCTATAGGCCAAAGTTGCCCATTTCAAGGATGGGGCTCAGGAATCTATATTTCAAACACACCACACAGGTGCTTTTTAGGTGACCACCTGGGCAAGGGCTGGTCTCCCGTGATGGACAAGGAGACTGATGCCCAGAGAGTCTGTGACTTGCCGAGGGTCACACTACAAATGAGTGTCAGAACCCATCTCAACAGCCCTGGCCCAGGGTCTTCTCTGTGCCCCCACCAGTAACCTCTGCCACACCCCGCTCTGCTGGCCACAGAGCTAGGGGTTCCACTTACCCCTCGGGCTGGAGCTCCTGGCCACCCTGGGGCTCGTCGAGGTACCAGCTGCCATAGGAGTAGTCGTCTGTGTCGCCTGAGGAGGTCTGGTTCCCGGCTGTGCTGGACATTCTCAGACCCTTCTCTCTTGACTCCCAGACAAGAGGAAAAGAACCACTACAGATGTGAAAAGAGGCTTAAAAAAAAAAATAGAAAGAAAGGAACCCAAACAAAGAAACGTTTCTCTTTAATACTAAAGGTTACTTTCTTGCTTTTAGCTCGCTGGGAAAAGTCTGTCTGGGAGTGAGGCCCTGATCCCCCTGGAACGGGTGGAGGGAGCTGGGAGAAGGGGCAGGGCGTCTCTGTCCTCTCCGGGTGCTGCAGGAGGTAGCTGTCCCTCTGGGGGTAGTGCTCCCCTGGGGTCTTAGAGCTCTTGCTGGAGCACCTGTCTGTCTGTCTGTCTGTCTGACTGACTGACCACCAGTGGGTCTTTGCTCAAAGGACCATTTTCAAGGAAGTTTTGTCCAATTCGAGCCGTCCACAGAGACACTCCCTCCTTTTCTCCCCCTCCCCAAACCCATTCAGACAGACCCACAGACACACACTCGAGGAAGGGCCAGGGAGGAAGGAGCTGCAGAGATGAAAGGGTGGGCGGGCTGCAAGGCGGGCTTAACACTTTGCGGGGACCCTCCAGCCCAATCCCCCTCTTTGTTCAGGCTCCCTTGAGACCACCCCTTTGGGCCTCAGTGGTGAGAACACACCGCAGTCGGGACAAAGCTCTCCCCCCAGCTGCAGGAGGCCCCATCTCCACTGGGCCTAGCCCTGGAGGGCTGTGCATACCTGCCTTCAGCCCCCACCTGGAAGCTCCCACACCTTCTTCGCCCACGACCTCTGCAGTGCCCCACACTCATTCCAGCAACCCAAGGAGACAGCAGGGGGCTGGGCGAAGGCAGGCAGGGAGCCAGTCTATTGCTTCTCCTGAGTTTCCATGAAGGAGGCAACATGTATCTCACTGGTAAAACATTTTTGTTTCTCCAACTTGATTTCACAAGGAGATAACTCACCCCTACAAGGCACAAATTAGTCCTTTAAACACGAACCAGACCCACGGGTAGGCAAGGAGAACCCCACCCGCTTCCTGCTCCTTCCAGGGTGAGGGTGATGGTGAGGAAGGCTCCGCCGCCGGCAGGGGCCGGCAGGGGCTGGGGTTCCTCACCATCCTCCCTCCCCTGAGAAGCTGCCCCCCTTTCCCACGCGCGCATTCCCCGCCTCCTCTTTGTTCAAGCCCAGACTGGGTGGGGGTGAGGCAAAATGCAGAGGAAGGCAGAGAGCAAGTTCTCTATCCTCCCCTGGGTGGGGGTCAGGACCCCTGAACCTCTGAAGGTCCACATCCTTTCCGTACCCCCAGGGGGCCCGGGCCCCAGCCCTACCCAGCTTACGCATTCGTTCAACAAGCTTCCTTAAGACATTCATCCATTTATTCTTTTAACGTAAATTCATTGAACACCTACTAACTGCCAGCACTGTCCTAGGCCCTGGGATGTGAGCAGTTACAGTTCAGGGGACACAGACAAGTAGGTAAATGAGCTCAAGTGTCAAAGGGTCATTAAGGGAAGGCAGGATGCCCTGATATATACTGTGGCGAACTGAATTTGGTCTAACAGAATGGGGGGTTTTCTGAGGAAAGTAACCTTTGAGTGAAGATCTGAGGGCAGGAAAAAGTCAGCTGAGCAGAGGGTGGGCTGGGAGAGTAGGGGTGCAGGGAAGTGTGTTCCCAGTAGAGGGAACAGCATAGGCAAAGGCTCAGAGAAGACAGGGCTTGAAATGCTAAAAGCTCCCACCCCCCCCAAACTCTGTAGGCAGGCTCACAAGGCTTTCCAGGATGGGGACCTGAGTGCTGTGGTGGTCTTGGTTCCTGTCCTTCTCAAATGGCCCTCTTCCAGGAAGAAGGCTCTGACCACCCCCTCCCCCACCCACAGAAGTGTCAGTGTCTCAGAGCTGAACCTGAACGTTATCTGATGCGATGCAGGAGCACACACTGCCCATCTGATCCCAGGGATTTGGGGTGCATCTTGCCTCCCAGGCCTGGCTGTGAGCTCCTGAGGGCACGGTTCTGACTCTTCTCCTCTGCTTCCCTCCCTCTCTGGGGGCACAGCGCTTGGGTCACACAGACTTTTTACCTGGGCTTGGCAAAGTCATGCTCTTTGTGCCTGCCATCACTCTTCCATGGGCCTGTTCTGCACAGGCTCCTGTTATGCCCTGATCTCCCCAGCCAGGCTTTCCAAGGCCTGACGTCCCTTCACTGCCGCGCATGTGTCTCAGACCCATAGCTTAGGAAGCACCCAACCTCTATTTGATTTTAAATCTCCCTCATGATACCTCTAACAATTAGAATTCAGTCTGTGACAGGGAGCTCCCTTCCTATACAAGGCAGAGGTGTGAGATGTTCATGGGGGGTGGGGATCTCTGCCTGTCAGAAATCACTTCCTTCCCTGGAGGAAGCTTAAATCTGCTCCCAACCTGGTTCACTCGTTCATTCGGTCAATCATTCATTCATTCATTCATTCATTAAACAAATGTAGATTGCATGCTGACTGTACACCAGGCAAGGTTCTACATGCTGAGCATACAGCAGCAAGCAAGTCGTGTACCTCAGGGAACCTAATGTGTAGCGGAGCAGGGTGGAGACAATACGTGTCATGAGCGCTGAGAGGGAAAATAAAGTGGGGTAAGAGAAGAGAGATAGAAAGACAGACAAGAGTTGGCTGTTTTAGGCAGAATGGCCAGGAAAAGCCTTGCTAAGGAGATGATATTTGAGCAGAGACCTGAAGGAAGGGAGGAAGGTACCCAGTTGGGTACCAAGAAAAGGCATTTGAGCTCCCGGAGCCTCCGTCAGCCTCAGGGGCCCCAGGCAAGCCCAGGCACAATCCCCTCCATTCCCCACAACCCCCTCCTTGAACCAAACCCTGCTCTGTCCCCAAAGGGATGTCCAGTGGTACTGCCCCTCCCCCTGGGGAGAGCCCAGCACCCATGATATCCCCTCCCTCCTTGCTGGGGAAATACAGAGGCCAGCTTCAGGGAGGCCCTAAGCAGAGGGGAGAAAGAGGTGAGCTTCGCTGGTGGGTGTGGGCACAGGGGCCAGAGAGCAGTCTTGTGCCCAGTACCATGGTCCTCAGGGTCAGGGCTGGGTTGGGAGCAGGAAGGGGCAGGTCCAGGAGGATGGTTGGGGAGGCAGCCTACCTGGGTTTGAGCCCAGGGCTGCGCCTGACCCCGAGTGAGTTCCTTCACCTCTCTAGTCCTCAGCCCTGCCTCTGTCCAGGAGGGGTGCGTCATCCAGCCTGGAGACTCTCTGATTGTGGGCTCTCCTCTCCCCCATGTCCCCACTCCCTGCCCTCAATGACTTCATGGCCCAAGAATGTAGAGCCAGCACACTAGTTTGTAGCAAGGTCAAAGCCACAGAGAGCAGCTATGACTGGCCAGGAGTTTCCCTTTGCCTTACACCCACACTCCTGGCCCCCAGCTCCCCCATCTGCTCTTCTGTGGGGCAGGGAGGTAGGCTGGATAGCAGATCCATGGATACTGGGTGGCCACATGGCTCAGGCTAGGAGGGGGACCCCACTTCTTAAGCCCAAAGTACCTCCTCAGCTTGGAGGTAGAATAGCCTGGAGCTCGCATCAGCAAAATGGGATGGTTAGCTCTGGGGAGTTAGGACTGCAAGCTGGCAAGGAAAAGTAATGGGAAGAGAAAGATCGTAATGAGGCGCTCCTGAAGAATTTGTCCAAAGGCCTGGCGGCGGAGTCCAGGGGCTGCCCTCTGGAGCTGGCTTTATAGGAGGACTCACCTGAAAGAGTAGGAGACCAGCACCTGCCATCAGAACAGGGGCCAGAGGGTGTACTTGGGAGAGAGTCTGCAAAAGCTCAGGAGAGGGGGTGAGGGGTGGGGTCGGGGTGGGGAGATGGCTTGGGCAGTTTTGAATGGTTCCTGGAGGAGGGGGCCTGGAGCAGGGTCCTAAGGTCAGACAGGGTCAGCAGTGGTAGCTAGAATGAGGTGTAAGTGTCTTAGGAGAGCTGAGAAGGAGAGTCTGAGAGGCAAGGAGAGAGCAGGCCAGGAGTCAGGGCTGCCCAGCTGTGGCCTGCATGAGCCCACGTGAGCCCATCAAGATGAGGCTGACACCATATTCAAGGAGCAGCCCAGGCCAGCAGGGCTCCCAGCTGGGCACAGATTGGGGTGGCTAGGCCCTGCTCACTGCGGAAGGAGTTCCCAAAAGCTTCCGCGCACTGAGCAGACAAAGGCCGTCCGCCCTGCCCCTCTGGCCGGAGCTGGCCCATGAAGGCCTTGAGACAGGGCTTCCTTCCTCCTCATGTTTTTCTTCAGGTTGATTAAATCTGAGGAATTTTTGCATCCAGAAACAGAGGCCCACATGCGTGCCTGCCCTCCCCGGCCTGTGGTTTTCAGAATTCTCAAAGAGCAAGTGCTAAGCTTAAAAGGAGTGAGCCAAAATGAATGGGAAGGGCCAGCAGCAGCCCCAGAACTTGGAAACACCCCCAAGGATGTCCAGGTTTCCTAGGGCACCTCCTGAGTCTCAGCAATATCCCTGGAATTTTCGTAACACCACAAGAACCCTGGAAACTCAGCATCACCCCCATGAACTTTCAGATCTTCATGAACATACCAGAACATCTAAAATACCTCAGAATCTGAGCCACACTCCAAAGGCCCTCAAACTCTAACAGATCAAGCACAGTTTGGGGCAAAATGCTCAAAAACCATGGTGCAAGCGGTTGCAGAAACCTAGGGAACCCCACTGCTCACCATCCTCCCATCCCAGCCCTTGGTTCTCTGAGTCCAACTGGACCCCTCAAAAGTTGTACACTACCCAAACCTCAGTAAAGCCTCAGAGCCTCAGCAACACCTCGATCCCCAGCAGCACAGCAGAGAATTCCCAAGGGGTGCTCTGGTCCAGGATGGGGGGGTGCCCCATGTGCCTGCTTGTACAGCCTGGCCCCTCTGTGAGCCCATCAATAAGGGGCCAAGGTGTCAACCCCACGCAGGCCAGACAGCTCGGCGCCCACGTGGCCCTCACACACACGGAACTGTCCCTGGCACACACAGGGGCCTAACCCTGGCCCTGGCTGAGCCTGACCCCATTCAGTGCCCTAAAGGCAGTGTTGTTGGCTGCTAAGCTCATGACGGGAG